GGTGCAACTAGAGATCGTGGTTGGAGGCCAGGTGGTGAAAATGGCCTAGGCTAGACCGTGAACCTGAGGGTTAGGGGTGAGAACCCATACCACAGTGCTGTGGGAAATGGGGCTGGTGATCTGCTTCCATGAAGATGTCAGCCCCAAATCCCTCTGGAGCCATTCTACTCTGTGACATGGGTTTCCTTGAATCAGAATGGACTTGATGGGGACCAACAGCAACAGGGATCATGATAACCCTGCGGTGGGGTGGGTTCAACCAAAAGGGTGTACTCCGGTTTCTGCTCATCTCTTGTTTCCCTGTCTGATCCCAGGCAGAGTAACCTTCCCAAGAGCTGCCGACCTGCGATCTGTGCGAAGAGATCTTTGTACAGAGCAGCCTGGTTTTATCACATATGCACAGGGATGATTGAGACTCCCCAAAGTCTAAGATTCTCTGCTGTGGGATTTAGAAAAGCTGAGGCACATTGAATGCAGCCCAATGCTTGAGAATTAACAACCCAATGGTCCGTATCTGGGATGGTGGGCTACCCGGACCCTTCTCTCTCTCTTGTTTGCATGGTCACGGCCCTTTGGCGGAAGAGAGAGATGGAGAGATATGGATATTACTCATTTTAATCCTTAGACAAAACTCATTTTAATTCTTTGACAAGCTATCTGTTGAAAGAGATCGTGGACACTGCTTTGATGTGTGTGCATGCGCATGCTCTTCTATTTCATCTAAGAACTGGGGAAATTTTTCTCCAAGTACATACCCTAATAACTTGTATAAAGGAGTTAAACAATGTCATCAGGGACTTTAAAGTGGTAATTATACAATTCAATGGTTGCTTTAGACATGTTGTTTAACTTGGAAATCTGTTTTAATCAATGAAGATGGGCTTATTGGGCTACCAATTTATTTGAGACAAAGCACCCCTTTCCAAGACTCTTTGCAGGGGGCAGGTGCTGAGATGGGGAAATTGTCCCTGTTCTCTACTTGCCACTTTTTAAACTTCTACCGGGAAAACCAGAGATAGATGATTTCTCTGCCTCTGCTGTGCTTTAAAATATATTTTCAGTAGCATCACCCTCCCCTGAGCTGTTATTCACGGGGCTTTAGAGGTCTTTGTGGCTAATATGCATCGAGGACAGAGCTGTGAGTCTTTTAGGTCCCTGGGAGAGGCATTGGATTCCTGCCTGGCTGCTAGTGGAATGCTCAGCATCCATAGCGATTACAAGCAAACAAAACCCAAACCAAAAAACAAAAACAAAA